CCCATCCTCTTTATGAAATTTTTCCAGTTTCACCCCCTCTCCCTTCCAGTCTGTCATTCCACCCCTTCCCCCTCCCCATCACAGACAGAGGCATCCAAATCCCCCACCCTCCCGCTTTTCAACACACACACACACACACACACAAACACACATACGCGCTCAAACATATGCATACTTACACTCACAGAAACACGCACGCGAATAAACACTCACCTATGTAGTTGCACACTCTCTCTTTCTCTCTCTCTCTCTCCCCGTCTCCTCTCCCCCTCCCCCACCATGCCCTCTCTCCCCTCTCTCTCTCTCTCTCTCTCTCTCTCTCTCTCTCTCTCTCTATCTCTCTCTCTCTCTCTCTCCATCCCTCTCTTTCTCTTTCTATCTCCCCTCCTTCTAATCCGGCTCGCCCCATTCCTGTGAATGAGAAAGAATCCAGTAAGTCAGTCATGTATAGTGCGGAAAAGGTGCGGAACAAAATTTGCACCCTTCAGCGCACAAGTTTTGAATGGATTCCCATGACCATTCATCACCGACTCTCATTCTAATATTAATAATAATACAATATCCCAGACCGGTTTTCTTTGACGTATGTCTTTTTTATGTCCCCCTGTTATACAACGTAGATCATTCACCAGACAGGCTTTGATCCCAGGGCCAACACGGTCCAACAGACTGACCGAGATACTGGAAAAACATCTCTGCAGAATGAAGTCGAAAGATCAGTTCTTCTGCGTGCAATGACAAAGCGCCTAACCACTTCACCACGTAACGCCCCTTCCTAAACCGCCCCGACTGGCTTTAATTATTCCCTATTTACTGTACACCTCTCAGACTGACATTTGAAGCCAAATGAGGGCAGCTGGGACAGGGTTTGGGTTTTGTGGGAATTCAACTACAGCGTTTTGCCGTTCTTATGACGTCCATGATGTGTTCGCTTCTCAGAGAAGTAAAAAAAAAAATCTAAAGCAGAGACACCTGCAGCTATGATAGTGTACGATCTAGGTTAATTACATGTGTTAATGATAATGATAATAATAATAATGATGATGATGATGTTGATGATGATGATGATGATGATGATGATGATGATGATGATGATGATGATGATGCTGATGATGAGATAGCATTTGTATGGCGCAAATTCTCGCTCAACAGCAAGCTCTATGCGCTTTATACGGGGTGCCCATTGGGGCGATCAGGCCGGGTCAGGGCGGTTTGCTAGCCAAATTGAGGTCGCAAAGCGGCTATCGTGACACATGCCGATCGCACCCCATTCAAAAACAAATGCATTTTTTCAGGCGACGAGGCGGGCGATCATCCCGACCCGACCAGACCCTATCCGACCCGATCCCCCAATGGGCACCCCGTATTATTATGTTCTATTATTACCCCACCTGACCTGATAACATTCTGAAACAATCTCAACTTCTTTGGAGGCACACAATGCTAGCTGCCATTATACCATAGGTGCTAAAACACTCTCATACTGACAAGATCTTTCGCTGTCGGTGGTCGGATACCCATTCTCACTAGGGAGAAGTGAGGAAAACTCGTGTAAAATGCCTTTCCCAATGACACAACGTCGGGCCTGAGGCTGGAACCCCTGAACCTGCAACCTCACGAATCCGAGTCCTGTGGCCTAGACTAACACGGGACTGACTACACATACTACTGAAGCATGTGCCCTTTACAGAGCTCAATCATAGACAGGCGTCACATTGTCGCTCTCAATCATAGATGGGCGTCAAATGGTCGCTCTCTATCATAGATGGGCGTCAAATGGTCGCTCTCAATCATAGACCGGCGTCAAACCGTCGCTTTCAATCACAGACAAGCGTCAAATGGTCGCTGAAAACCCCTGAATAATATGACAATACCCACGGCGGACCATTGAAGGGGAGGAAAAGTAAATTTCAGCACGCCCCGCTCCACAGATAAGCCAAACGCTTAGTTTGCTCATGACATCATGACGCTATACTCTGATGTGTCCTCGTGTGTACTTAGTTGGTTAAGTAACTGCTTAATGGTGAGAGGGCGTGTATGCGGTTTTTCTGGGGTTTTCTTTTCTTTTTTGGGGGGGGT